CACTAATGAAGATGTTAACAGTACCAATCCTGCCACTGATCCCCGAGTAACACCACTCATCACTGTCTCCACTCAGACACTGAGCCATTGACCACCACTCTGAGTGCAACCATCCAGCCAGTTCTTTATCCATCCATCAGTCCATCCATCAGATCTATGCCTCTCCAATTTAGAGACAAGGAAGTTGTATGGGACAGTATTGAAGGCTTTGCACAAGTCCAGGTAGATGGCATCTGTTGACCATCCTCTATCCAGCAAGGTCGTGACCCCATCATAGAAGGCCACCATATTAGTCAGGCCCGATCTGCCCTTGGTGAAGCCATGTTGGCTGTCAAAAGCAGGTTGAATTACATAGACCACAAGTGTCTTTCAAGACTACAGTTTAACCTGCTGTTTTGCTGCCCATGTGTTATCCATGCACACACTGCACTAAGCGGAGAGGAAAACCCTGAATAAGGGCATGCAATGATTCACATTAACCTCGTTATCGCTACCAAAAGGTATTCAAGTCATTGTCATTACTACACTGAGAACAAGTGCTCAAGAAATGTTAGAACAGAGCCAAACATATAAATGGGAAATAACAGAACATTTTCTATTGGTATGAGCCATGCTATGTCCACTACATGACGAGGAAGTGTGGTACACGCAGCCCACCTGAAAAAGGATATTTATGAACCAGAAACCATGATAAAGGGCAATGAGGATGAAAGAGATCTGAAATAGCTTGGATTCCAAAGTAGTACAAACAAAAAAAGCGTGGCTGGGAACACAGTACTCCAGGCAAGTCATGAGTTAGCACCATACCCAAAGCTAAAAGTCAGCTCAGATTTTACAGCAGACCAGAGATCAACATTATGAACTTGTTAGAATTGGACAGAGAAGAGTCAAAGTTAGTATACTTGACCCAGATTTGATACGAGAGATACAGATCACTCATGCCCACATTGCTCCTCTCCTATTACCATTCAAGTGCAAATGGTTAGTAAGCCTTTAATCATGTTTCATTTTCATTGCTGCAAGCAGTGTTGTCCTTGTGTGCTACAAACTAGAGTTGCACAAAATATACACAGAAGGGGAAACTTCCACTTAGCTCTTCAAGTACTTTACACCTTTGAATATTTTAAAGTTACCCTTCAAATGTCTTTAAAATCTAAAAATCCATACAATTGCCGCACACAAAGTTATTCAAAATACCTGCCTAGGCATAACATTGCACTAATCTTTAACTCGCCCTATCCAAATTAGACCAGTAAGAATTCATTAAAAAACTAGCCAAACCAGAACAGTACTCTTAAGGAGGAAAAAAAAAAAGAAAAAAAATCAAGTACACAAGGTCAGTGTAAACATGTTCTTTAATATCGCTGAAGATAAATTTAGAAATCCAAGTCTTAGGTGGGGTTCAAATAAATAATCATTTTGAGTGTTTACATATAAAGGGAGCTCTCAAAGCAGCAGTGCACAATTTGTAATTCCTCCCTGCTAACACACCCCCAACAAGAGAATGTACAGTAGGTAGTGCACACTGGAAAAAACAATCAACATACAGCACACTTGCCATCTTCAATGAAACCACTGAATATGATGTCCAAAAACGGGGGGAGAAGCAAATGAAGGCATGCACTGCCCTTTAAAGCACCACTGTTTTCCCACAGCCTTTTTACCAGCATCATACAAATAAGAAGCCTGGGAATACAAGCCATCTTTCTGCTTCTGAAATCCACTCTCAACTCCCAAGATGAACACAGCAGTGCTCTGATACAGAAGATATATTCCTCAAACTGACATTGCAGCATAACACATCCTCATCCCAGCTGGTCTCTACTCAGGGACATCTACTCCAATTTTTAAATTTCTCTCCAGTAACTGCAGAGGTAATCCAGAAAGCTTAAAGACAGGTAAGAATTGTTGTTTTTTGTAGATCCTGGCCCAAGAAAAGAATCAGGACAAGACAGGCCTCAAGAGGGTGTACAGTTACACAAAGTATCTGGTGGCCTACATTACTCAAAATAAAACCTCCCAAAAGTAAAAACTCTTCCTCAAAGATTTACCTTTCTTAAATAGCTCCACTTATTCTGCCGTTTAAATATGCCCAATGTGAAGTTTCTCACATCAAAATAAGATTTAGCAATCCAGAAAAACAACAAGAAAAGAGATCAACTATAAATATGCCACAAAAGATACTTGCAAAAGAGTTAAATTGTTTTCCCAAGTTACTGTTTCAACAAAATATTTTCTCTCTGCAGATACGGGTAGGGCAGCCTTCCACTCTTTGTGCTTTAGTTCAACATGCAATTGTTCCACGATAAGCACTGTGGTACTCGCCACAGAAGCATGTAACCTACGAGCAGAAATTCCTTAACACAGTTAACCTGCTCTGCTACTTTTTTTCCTTCTCCATTCCTGATACACTGAGTTCTGCCTCTCTCTGCTATGAGTCATTTAAAAACCTTACTATGCAATACTGCTGTGTACCTACTGAATAAATATTACAGGAGTTAGAGGACTGTTTCAATTGCTAGCTTGCCTTTGGCAAAACAAACTGAGGGAACATACACTCTATGCTTCACACATTTGAGTAGAGGATGCTGCAACATTTAACAGATACAAAATAAAATAAATCTTAGATTTCTAGAATTGTCAGCACACAGGATTCCCAAGTTGTTCTGAATACAGGAGCAAGGTAATCAATTTTCAAGGAAAGCCACATAGTCAGTCAGTCTGGCCAACTGCTGTTCGTTTGGAATTGGTGGAACAGGAGCAGGTTCTACAAAGATAAAACAAATGAATCATTAATGAAATTAAGAAAGCAAATCCATCTGCAATATCATCCATCACAACAGCAAGGAAAAACTTCAGTACATCAGACTGTTAAACAGTCTTATGGGAGCACATCTTAACTGTACCTCCTACCTATACAGCTTTAGCTGACATTGTCTGCGAGATCAAGTCGTCCAAGAGTTACTAAGAGCAAAGATAGCTGTAACAATTTCCTGTTGTCAGCAGTCTTTTTTTTGCTTATACTGGAGCCTGAATAATGAAGACTGACAGTAGTTCCACTTGACAAAGCTCCTGGAGCTCTGCAGTTGCTCCTTTCCTTACAAGTTGTCATACAGAAGATACCAAATGAACCTACAGCATTATCTAAGAACACAAAGCACTGCATGGGTTGCCGGAGAATGAAGCACGTATGTAGATCTCCATACAAATGCCACCTAACTTGAGACTACAGTTTAACAATAAGGTTGGAAGACAAGTGACTAAAGCCAGGGAAATAAGTTAGGAATTAAAAATTGGAAATAAAAATTCTGCAGGAAACGCAGGAAAATTTGCATTTACTCCCCCTGAAGAGCCAGCAGACTAGCATTCAGGACATAAAGTAGACATACTGCCTAGGGCTGAAGTATGTGATAAAGGAGGCTGACTATCAAAAGAGTTTTCAAAAAACAAGACCCCAGCCCTTGAAATTGGCTTGGAATTAGACCTGTAAATTTAAGACGCTTTTGGCACACTGTGTTAGATACAACAAGCCACCAATTCAGATCTACTGTCACTATCTTGTGAACAAGAAACAGCGTTTTGAGCTTCAGCATGACATATTACACCCCAATCTATAGCTGAGCTCTGAGAAAAACCAGAAGATTATTTTCTCCTGAAGTCCCACATCACACAAAAGCAACAAAACCTACTCAGAGTTGCCTTGTGAAGAAATTGCCTGCAAGCCAGAAGTTTTCACCAAAAACTTAAAAACCTTCCCACTCCCCCCACCCCACCCCGCTTTGTGATCTGCTCCCTTGTTCAGCTACAGAATTCGGAATCTTAGGCACTCCTTAAAATGTGAGGGGAATACAAGACAGAGGAAGAAACATGTTTAATTAGCCCCTGATTGGGGATTGTTTGGTTTGTATGTTTTTTTTCCTGAGCAGGGAGTGAGGACATTCATTTGTCTAGGACTCAATTCCTATTTTGTGGTGCTGGTGAAATTGTGCTTATATTAATCATGCAAGGTTTAGAAACATGCAAGTAGATAACAAATTGGAAGTACCTGATGAAGGGATAAATCTGTTAAAGGAAGCTTCCAGCACACCTGAAGAAAACCACAAGAAAGTTAGCTCAGTGGGTCAATTTTAGTTCTATACATCAAGCCAAAACTGGATAAGAAGGTAATTAAAGTTAAGCCTGTTCATTTACTTGTTTTACTTTGGAGTTAAGCAGAATACCCAAGGCTTAGCTGGTTGGACACATAGTTTCAAAACAGATGACAACCTCCTGCCTCTTTCTTTTGCCTCCAACATAGTTGTTGCACGCACTTTTGGAAAAGAACCACATGTAACTTATTCTCAGTACTTGTAAGTGCTGCATATTTTGCAACCCGTTCACAAAAAAAGATCATACGCAAAAGCTCAGGACTCTGGTTGGTTTCATGCCCCAAGGGATAAAATTTCACCACCTTGCCTGGCACGCGTTTATTATAATGTTCTGGGCTCTGAACACCTAACAATTCTGCCCATACAAACAACATTCTTTTCTTAGCCTAACAGATGTTGCCCCTTTAGATATGCTACGATCTGGCTCCTTCCAGAGCTGCACCATGCAGTTTAAGAGCAGTCATGTCATCTCTGCCTTCAGACCTTAACATTTATTCTTGCCTCTGCCACCCACAGACAGTGCTTCAGCAAAAAACACCCAAGTATTCTTGCAGGCACAGATATTCTATTATCAACACCATGACAGTTAAGGATCCAGTAGAATAAGTTTGAAAAAGCAAAGGAAATAATACCAACAACTTGAGCTGCTCAGAACACAAAGATCCAGTAGATCCCTGCCCAAAGAACTTCTCCTGATAAAAACCTCAGGTTCAGAACGGTGTATCTTTACACATCTTGATTAGATTAAGACATGTCATTTGAGGTCAACCAACTTACGTTGCACTGAGTCAGAGCCAGCAGCAGAGAAGCAAAAGAAATCATAGCACATCCTGTCTGCTTTTGTTTAAAAGAAGTTAATTTGAGGATGTAGTTTAATCTAAACTATTTGTATTTCCAAACCAAACCCACTACTTTGCCCTTCCTACATTTTATAAACATTGTGCTTTACAGCAGCATAAGCCCCCATTAAAATATTTTAAAATTATTGTGCAAAATGTTAATTAAAAAGTAACACCAAATTACCAAAAATGTTTTAAAAAAAATGTCTAATGAAATAACAGCTCCACCTACCTGGCTTTTTAGGCACTACCATACGAGTTGAAAAGTCTGCTTGCCAGCCCTGTTCTAATACACCTGAAAAGGCATTTTTACATTTGTAAGAACAAGTATTTTATGACTGCTAGAAAAGCAAAACAAAGCAGCACATTAAGATCAGTTGAAAAGCATCTCAGTACACTGTCTATAGGCAACAACTCTAAGACCTATTTCTTGAAAGCATTTAGACATTCAGTTTGACAAATTAGCACACAAAACTAGGTTAACCCACTACCTTCAGTCTTCCCTCATTGCCAAATTGCTTTAACACTTCCACATATAGAAGGGGAGGATAATCAGTCATAACTGGTGGCAAATAATAAAATCAGATACTTATCCAGAACCAAGGCATTTATCTCTATTCACTGCCCCATCACTTTACAAGTGTCTTGGAACCTGTATGCACGTTTCTGTTCACCATCACTTACAGCCTTCTGACCTCAATCATCTGTAGCAAAACTATTCAGTGCATAAAAGCAAAGTACCTTTCACAGCTTCTTCTACAGGAAGCCCGACAAAGGCTGCGAAATCATCTGCAACTATTGACGTATATGCCTGAGAAACCAGTCCAAAGGCTCGTCTCCTAGTTGCATCTAAGAAGAGATAAATACATAAGTGGATAGACTGTTCTCCATGACCAGAGATCTGAGAGTTTTCCCAATTTTAACACATTTGGTAAACCATTATGCCCTTAAAGCTAGCACTTTACTAGTTTCTACTCCCTTCCCACAATTCATTGAAGCACCAGTCAGCAGCCTGAGACATCAGCTTGCTCTACACCAGGACAAAACATCTCAGAGACCACATTTCACTTCCAAAAGCAGTTTGTAGCATCTTGAGTTCTACCACAGGTATGTAAACCCATTTAGGGAACTGCTTCCAATGGTATTCCCAATTGCAACAAGCTTGTGTGTCAAGTAATTCAGAATTAAAGAAAAAATCATGAAAAAGGCATGAATAATTAGAGTAATTGCTTTTTTAGCCACATCAAATTGATACCAAGGCATCTGCAAATCAGTTGCTTCTAAAATTACAGAGAATTTGTTATTGCAAAATACCTTGTAGGCTTTTCAGCAGCCTGTACTGCCCCCTAGTTGCAAGACTTTGGCACACAGTCTAGAACTCAAACATTTGTCTAAAGCCACGTTTAAAAGAAAAGCCTTTTCGTGTCGCAAGGCTCAGAAATGCCAAGCCAAATTCCCTAGATTACTGGCCAAGTCTGAATTTAAAAGAAAAGCTTTTTCATAAGTGTCACAAGGCTCAGAAATGCCAAGCCAAGTTCCCTAGATTACTGGCCAAGTCTGATAAAACCGCATAACTAATGGTCCATTTTGCTATTAAAGAACAAAACACATGGCATATAAAATTCCAATATAAAAGCATATACAATCACAGACTCGATCCTAATCAATAAAAACATTTCAGTTTGTTTCTACAAGTTTTTGTAATGAGCTTTTTAGTTACACCCAATACCTAAAACCCTTTAAGCAAAGCCTACAAAACCTTAGCAATCTACCTGCCCACTTCTGATTTTTCACAGTAAGTAGTCATTTGTCTATTTGTGTTTGCACCCACAGAAATAATTCAAGGCAACATCTAATTCCATGCCACCTACAGGAGTTCAATTTGTACCTCTAAGTGCTTCCATGATGGGTTGAATAGTCTCAGACCACTGATGCGCACCGATAGTTGTATAGATTCCCGGAAAGTCTCTCTGCCAGATTCTTTGTCCTACTGACCAAACTGCACCAAGTTCCGCATTTGCCTGTTGTGACGAAAGAAACAGTTAATCCAGAATGGTGTAGAAATCCATTTCCACACCTCTCCTTTTCCCATTCCTCAAGTAGATCACAATACCTGTAATGAGGAACCAACAAGCACTGGGAAATCTAGCAGGTATCACTGCTCCAAGCTCCCTGATCGATCCACTGCTGAAACCTTATCACCCACGTATGCAAAGTCTCAGTTACCCCAATCCGGGCTGATGTACCAGCTAAAACAATCACAGCCAATAGCTTGCGCTCAGGCTGCTGACTGGAGTTGCAAAAAAAGGACAGACACAGCTTATTTTCTGCTTAGAGAAATGCTTGTCCCTTCAGTGGAGGCTTTATAAAGTACAGAGCCTGTTTGCACAGTGAAGGCAATTTTCAATTTGAAATTTCATCTTAAAAAGCTTGACAGTAGGTCATACTTCACATAGTGCCACAATCATGACAAAACTGCTCTCTCACTACTGGTTTTAGGGCTGCTTCTACCATGTTATTGTTATTGGTCAATGGACTCCAGAACAGCCTGTCAGAATAGCGACCAAACTGGCTAATGAAGTGCTTTTATCAGTTGTAAGGAGAACTGATTTGTTTCTGAGGAAGATTCATGAAGACACACACCCAAGAAAACACTACACTTCTGAGATGTAACCTTCCCCAAGTAACTCATGCAATGAGTTTCCTCCACCAAGAATAGTGCTTCACATGAAATGCATGTTACACCAAAACACACATTGATTATTCACAGAATATCTGTGCAACAAATGCAGCAAGTTTCAGAGAGAGTCTAGGTAAAATTTGGTCCAGACAACCGCTGCCTCAACTGGTGTAATTAGTTTTCTTTCAAGAAAAAAAAGTATTTCAGAACCACCTGACAGGTCCCATCTTGACCATGAGGTTTCTTAATACAAAACTACAGAACACTTGTTTCCTTGTAAAATAAATGATCTCAAACTAAGAAAACGACAACAATAAAGTCTGGATGCATTTCTGGTATCATATTTACCCAAAACCTCAAGATGCATCTTTGACCCAAATGCAGTGCCAAACAAACTGCCTTCAGAAAATAAATCTGTATGAAGGCGCATCTGCTCCAAAGTCACTTTTCACTGCACAAGGTATTCTGCACCCTCATGTGAAATGCAGCCCCATCCCAGAGTTGGATCCATTGCTTTCCTCCAGCTGGCTACCCTTTGCCATCAGGCTTTCTAGTAAGAAATCTATAGATTTACTGAATCTTAATAATCACCAGATTATTTGGGAAGGAAGAGAGTTAACAGAGGAGCAACTAGGAGATCTTGAAGAGCAGCATTCCATCTGCTGGGCAAGCAATTCACAGCACAGAACTCAGCCCAAGGCTACTCACCAGACTGAATCCTTGGGGGGAAAAAAAGTCATTATTTGCAAGCTTGTATCTAACTGGTTTAGTATCAAATGGCATTTTATGAAGTACTTACAGATTTGATAGCAGGAGGAATTCTTTTCCAGAGATATCGTGCGTTATTCCTAAAAAAAGAAAGTTAAGTTAAAAATACTTCCCGGTAACTAAATGTTTGTGACAAGAAGACACCAAAAGGTTTGTTGAGATGCTACAACTGACAGTCTCAGTGCTTTAAAACATTCCTTCTGTCTCTACTGAAGGAGAAAAACCAAATTACTCTCAAGTTGACACCACGGCAGCCATGATAAAACAAATAGTTCACTAACTGCCTCATTTAACACCGGTTTAGAAAAGGTTTTTCATTTATCTACCCTAGGCAGCATTTCACAAAAGTTAGTTTTGGAGGCTTATTTTTGGAATAGCTGCATCTTTGATGAACACATGTAAGAAGAGTAACTTTTCATGGTGTCAGTAGTCATTTAGATCAGTGGCCTCCAAACTTTGATCGTGCACTTCCAGCAGAAAAACATGTTTGAGCATACACCCCCAGTATATGCACCTGTATTTATAAGTTATATACATGTACTACTGTATTAATGTTATGTACGTTATAAAGCATATAAATACAGAAGTTTAAAAGGATTAAATAAACCCCATTTAAATATTTTTATTTTACTTATTAATCGTACAAAGATACCAGCTTCATGTGCCCACACCCCACTTTGCATACCAAAGACTTAGGCTGGTTTGTGCATGTTCTTCCCAACCCAGCTTTGTCACCTACATTCTGGAGACTTGGCCATACTCAAATACTTAGTCATTGTTCTTTAGAGCACAGAAGGCAAACAGAGGGTTACAAATTCTCAGAAAGACTTAAAATGCAAAATGGAGAAAAAGACACACTGCTTTTCAAATCTTTGAATCCCCACACCAATGCTTACATTGGCTTGATATCAAATGTGGCAGTGTCGTTTATTCTGCCTGAATAAAGAACAATCAATTTCTCAATAAAACCCTAAACGCAGTGAATCAGGTTCACACAGGGTAATAATCCACCAGACCAAATGCAAAGGTTTACTGCTTCATGCAGACTGAGCTCTTTCAGCCAACCACATCCCTCATTTTTAACATGGACAGTTTTGAGTAAACCTGCTATAATTAGACACAAGGAGGAACATGCAATCTTACTCAAAAGAAATGCAGCCTTAAAAAGCTACAAATCAAAACACTGAAGTGTTCAACACTTTCCAAAGGAGCCAATTTCACTATTTAAGGAACTTTCTTCCTAAAGAAAACTATTTCCCTGCAGCTCAAAAGAGCGGGTAAGAGCAAACAAAGAAGAATAATTTTCCTGATAAAGCAAGGGGTAAAGAGACTTAATTTCATGATTTTTTTTTTCCAAAACAGCACTGCCTACATGGATTGTTAGTCACCCAACCAATTACTAATATTTTGGCAACTATGGCTCAAGCTGAAGTTCCGTTTCTGAAGTTAGAGGTGAATAAAAGCCACTTACATGTCATTATGCAGCAGGTACAAAGCTAGAAGTTGGCCATAAACAAGGGGTGTTGCGATTCCTCCAGGGGCCTAAAAACCAAGTACAAATAATTTGATTACACATTTTAAGAACAAGATATCTTACAAAATAAACCAGGTAGCTAATTTAAAAGAAATCTCAACATTCCAAGACAGTTAATGTTTTTCACACCACATAATAGGTCTGGAAATATCTTCAGAGTTACAATGTTATAGTAATACCATTGCAAGAGTTACCTTGCACATGCCAGAAGTTTTACTTGGAAAATGTGAATGAAATAAGGTTACACCTTTCTAATGTTCTAACTTAGGCTCACAAACGTGGTGACCATCGCGCTTTACAGTTTCACACAAAAAGCTGTTGCTAGGCACTCACAATTCCATCTATCTTGAGCTGAACTTCAGTTCAGTTCAGGGCACTCCACCAGAGTAAAGTTTCTTTGCTCACTTGAGCTGCCCTTCTTAAAAATCCAAACTGAGCGGTGACACTTGCCACATTTCAGCAGACCTCACAAATAGTACAAATAGAAAAAAATAATTATAATAAAGTTATATAATTTTGAAAGTCTATAATCATTTAAAAGCTGAAAAGACTTCCAATAAGGTTTTAGCAATTTATTAAAGGGTAGTGCAGCAAGCACTCACAGGAACTCAATCATGCAGCTCTTTGATTTAATTACATGTGTGATTTATAGCCTCATATAAGCCAAAAGCAGGTGATTAGCTGTGTCATTGAGCAGATATCATCATCCCCAGCCACTGTTTCCAGGGCTCATCACCTACCAACCAATACCAGTTTCTGCAACTGTTCCTTGGATTACAGCCAGCAAAACAAAGCCAGGTCAATTAATACCACTTGTTTGAACTGTGTAAGTTCGCCTGTGGTGCTTCTCTGTAGTTAAAAGAAAATTAATTTCTCTGCCAGGAGACTAGTGGAACATAAGGGAAAGCCAGCTACCACTAAAACAACCAGATTTACAATCGACAGTCTCACTGAAGGAAGCTCTGTGGCTGCACCTAGCCTGCAAGAAAAAAAACAAAACAGCCTACACAACAGCTCACAGCCTGAAACACGAAGGCTGTCAGAATATGCCCACAAGAATCTTGATGTGGATGCAGACATGCACTGGCTTTGTCAAAGTACTTGGGAACAGTTTCCAGGGGGTACCTGTTGCCATTTACTCTAGGAGACTCTGCTGACAGACAGAGCAGAACTCTAAAGCAAAACATGGTCTAAGTTCAGTGGCCTTGTAACAGCTCGCAGGGATCTACGGGGATCCACCACCACACGCTGCAGAGCAGGCAAGTGTGGAGGGTATGCTGAACTTCCTCAGGTGGCTGCAGAAACAAATCCCAAAGCCTGCTGGGCTCCATCCCTGTCAGACAAAACTCACCTCCCACCACTCCGCAGAGGCCAAAAAGGCAGCCGAAGCCATTGCAAATGGTAGATTGGTTTGGGTTGGAAGGGACCTTAAAGACCATCTAGTTCCAAGCCCCCTGCCATGGGCAGGGACACCTTCCACTAGATCAGGTTGCTCCAAGCCTCATCCAGCCTGGCCTTGAACACTTCCAGGGATGGGGCATCCACATCTTCTCTGGGCAACCTGTTCTGTGCCTCACCACCCTCTCCAGGAAGAATTTATACTTGATGTCAAATGTAAGTGTCTCTTCATTAAGTTTAAACCCGTTACTCCTTGTCCTGTCACTCCCTGCCCTTGTAAAAACTCCCCCACAGCTTTCTTATAGGCCCCTTTCAGGTACTGGAAGGTGCTAGAAGAATCAGGTTTAACCACTGTTTTGAGACCTGTTAATCTGAACGGGAATAAAACAGTACCTCCATTCACAGAAAGACGTTCCCTATGGGAAGGTATCCACTGACTATTAACACATTCTGTGGTCTCCTAACCCTAAGTGTGTCCTTCTCCCCACACTTTCCTGACACACGCTTTAGCAGAAAGTGCTGTACATGTGTGCTCCTGTAAAGGATGGGAATACACCTTTGAAGCAAATACTAAACAGCTCCCAGCAGGAAGGGCTAACCACATACAATAACGGTACAAGGGCACTCTGCTGCTTCTCTACACTCACATGCCCATCATTTGAGGCAGCAGGTAGCTCGTATTTTCAGCACAACCAGCTCCCTCCAGTTTTGTAACACCCTTCTACAGAACTCAGGACGTACCAAGAGGCCACAGCACCACAGAGAACACGAGAGGCACCCAGGCTCAGCACAGAAGTAGCGCACAGAAACACCAACTGACGCTTGGTGATGTGCATCCATAAGCAGGAACTCCTTCCATTTAAGGATTATGTTTTCCACTGCAAAGCTGTGCAGCTTGCCAACACTAAAGTTCTGCTATGGCAGGTGATGTAACACGATGGAACAGCTCTCCCTTCAGTTGCTAGGGCAGCAATATCTAAAAATCAGAACCACTAATTCCGTGCACAGAGGAAAACTCAACACTTCCCCTTCTTTCAAAGGCCTACAGTGGTATGCACAAGCATCATGTTTAGAAGAGCACTGGAAACTCTGCAGATGAGAAAATGTCTATGGCTATGACGTAGGAAGAGCTTTTAGCATTAAAGAGGTGCCACACGGATCAAACCAAGGCTGGAGTCTGCACACAACAGTGCATGCAGTCAGACTTCAAAACTCATTAAGCAACAGAATTTAAAGCGGCACGGAGGAAGCTTCCAGGGCAAGCTCCCACAACAACTGCATCACTCATTTAAGAGTAATTCGGTGCCTCACACCCCTTTTCTAAAGCACATGAGACACATGAAGACATATGAACTCCTCTCTCTCTCACACACATCCCCCTCCAAAAAGCCCCTAAGATTTATACCCAAATGCACTCAATCATTTGTCTGCCGCTACACAAGTTCCTGCAAAGCTTTTTGGCGCGATTTCGCACAAGCGGCAAGTTCAAACACTGAACCCTCACCAACCTCACCCACAGCGGCAGAGAGCCACGAACATCCTTCCCTGCAGGGCTACACTAGGCTCAAAAACACCACTTTCTGGCAACAGCCCCTCGCCCACAGCGGCTGGAAACGCTTGTGCCCAAACCCACCCGCGCTGC